AGTGGGAAGGAGAGCTGTTACTCTGTGGGGATTACAATCATTTTTTTTTTTTTTTTCTTAAAGTAATCAAACGATGTATTGCTTTGGGCATATCTGCTGCAAAAGACCTCTTCAAAGTGTTAAAAAGCAAAGTGGTCACTTTGAGGACTAAGGTGCGCCTGACCCAAGCTAAGTAAGGCATTTTCAATTGCTTCTTATGCTTGTGAAAGCTGGACAATGAATAAAGAAAGCCACAGAAGAATTGATGCATTTGAATTGTGGTTTTGGTGAAGAATATTGAATATACTGTGGACTACCAGAAGAATGAACAAATCTGTCTTGGAAGAAGTACGGCCAGAATGCTCCTTAGAAATGAGAATATCCAGATGACGTCTCACCTATTTGGTGATGTTTTCAGAAGGGACCGTACCCTAGAGAAGGATATCATGCTTGGTGAAGTAGAGGGCCAGTAAAAAAAAGGATATCATGCTTGGTAAAGTAGAGGGCCTAAACAAGATGGATTGACAGAGTGGCTACAATTATGGGCTCAAGCATAGCAAAGATTGTGAGGCTGCTTCTTTCTGTTGTACATAGGTCGCTATGAGTTGGAATCAGCCTGATGGCATCTAACAACTACAACATGAATTAAAGTAGAACTTTCAAGTTAAATTTCAAAAAGGATTGAGTAAATAAATGCTGAGACATGGAAACAATATTATTTATAGTAACTTTTCCTACAATCACTGGATTATTTTGATTTTGTTGGCAAGAGTGATCATGAGAAAACCACGCCCACATAAATATGCAGGAAACATTCCCAAGTATTTCATACACAAACCCAAGAAGGGGTCGCTATGAGTCGGGGCCGACTCGACGGCACATAACAACAACAACAACAACAAAGACAATTTTAGCTTTGCACATTTATTTCTATTTGTTTCCTTCTTTGTTGTGTAATTTTCTCTTTGTAAAGCTTAGTTCTAACACAACAGGATTCAGTCTTATGTAACTGATCAATGGATTTTTAAAAATCATTCTACATTGAAGATCCTTGCTGTATTTACTTTCTACAACATAGGAGCCTGTCATCTCATTAATCACTTTTAATTTCCATCCTTAGAAATTCTTCAGCTCTGCTTTTTCCTTAAGATTGGGATCAAAGGTGGCATTCTGGTGATTATTAATACTCCAGGAGAATTTTGTTAAAAAAATTATTTCCTCATGATGTGAAGCATTTTGTTCACTGCCTTGGTCACAGTACCTCATTTGAGTGATGTCTTTATAAATGTAGTTGTGGACACATCAATTCTTTTCTTCACTAACACTGCTTTGTTGTATCTAATGAGGGAGAAGGTACCCCAACCATCCCAAAATAAATCCCAAGGAATCTCCCAAGAAAAATCTTTTCATTATTTTGCTCTTCTTACATCAATATGTAATATATTTATAACATTTTACAAGAATCTTTACCCATTTCATGAAACCTTTGAGGCTATCAGGATCATACATATTTTACAGATTGTGGTACAGTAAATTATTTGGTATGGCTTTTTAGCCATAGGCTTTGTAACTCCTACCAGAATGCTGGGTGGGACCATGCAAATAAGGTGTATAGAACTCTAATGTTGGGATTGGTTAGTTTTGTCACCCTGCTAACTTAAAATGAGCCTTCCTAGAGGCAGAAAAGGAGCTCTGGTAGCGTAGTGCCTAAGGCACTTGACTGCTAACCAGAAAGCTGGAGGTTCAGACCCACCAGCCACTCCTCGAAATGAAGGTTGGGCAATCTACTTCCATATGATACTGCCTCAGAAACTCAAGGAGGGGTCGCTATGAGTCGGGTCTGACTCGATATCACGTAACAACAACAACAGAGGCAGAAAGGTGGATCTCACTGCCAGAGAAAAGAGCTGGAGGTGAAGTTGAGTGTGTCCTTGGACCGGAGACCCCTGCAGTGGACCTCCCTGGCAGAGACGCTCAGCAGAGAGAGATGCTTAACAGAGAGACAGTGGTAGTGGAACCAAGAGATTTCTATTTCATATAAGTGGAACCATACAATATTTGTCCTTATGTGACTTACTTCATTTAGAATATGGTTTCAAGCAAAACTTCTGCTCTTTCCATTATATTATCCTCTCTTCCACTACAACTAATCAGGCCTCTCTCCACCCCTGTCATAGTAGAGCCCTTTGAAACAGAAGTCTTTCTCCTTTTATCCTCATCCCTTCTTCAGGAAATCAATTTTACTACACTATTTAGAATTCATAAGTCCTTCTACAGTGTGAAGAAGGTAGCAAATACATTGTTGGTAAAACAATAAAAAAGCATTTGATAATGCTTAACATAATAAAAGCATTACTATTTTATCCTGTGTGTGGCTGACGTAATGTGCATACAGGTTGTGTTGGGGATGCCAGGAGGGAAGTGGCCACGAGCCACCTTTAAATGCCGAATTGAGGAACTTGAACTTTATCTTGTGCGAACTCTTATCTCTTTTGTTGAGTCAGCAGAAGATGTAAGATCCGTTCTAACAGGTCTCTCTTTTTTTTCTTACAGTTGACGTTGGCTGTACTCTCAAGAGTTCTTTGGCCCCTTGAGCCACAATGCCTACCTAGTTTCTTCATGGAATCTTTCAGAATTGCTCTCTTTTCTGTACACACTGGTCTGCAGGACAGTTGGGGTGGGGTGGTGGGGTGTGTGTGTGCGCTCATGCTTCCAAGATCTAAGCTCTGGTGGCATTTGACTTGTAACCAGAAGGCTGGAGGTTCAAACCCACCAGCCACTCCTCGGAAGGAAGGTTGGGCAATTTACTTCCGTAGTGATAATACCGCCTTGGAAACCCAAGGAGGGGTCGCTATGAGTCGGATCCGACTCCACGGCAGTGAGTTTTTTTTTTTGTTAGGTCAGTAATATGTTTCTACTTGTGACAGAAAATGTTTCAATGTCCATCTGATCATCCCACTTTACTACTGACCCCCAGCTTCTTTTGACCGTTTTTTGCTTCCTCTTTAGTTCAGTTTGTGTCTGTCCCAAAGCGCAAGATGAGGTAAGATACTGTGATTCGCGGAGTTCACTAGGCCATTCAGAGATCTCAATTCTAGGCGCTTTAAAACTCGCCTCAGAGTTCCTGGCGCCATGCTTGATTCTCATTCCGGACGCTGTGGTTTCACCTTCCTCTCCAAACGCCACATCGGAAACCTCGATTGCTGAAATCAACCCCCTCGCCAACCAAGCGCGCCCGGACCAGCTCAAAGGGCTTTAGCGGGCTGCGCATGCGGACTTCTCGGCTGCCTCCTCCAGTCTGCCTCGGCGGTTTGGAGATGCCTGACAGCTCCACGACAGAGGGACGCAGCCTCCTCTCGAGCTTCCACGTTACCCTATCAGAGACGGGGCGGGGCGGAGACCTTTTTAGCCTATCAGCGTTAACCACGACCCAGGCGCACCCAGTAGGAAAGCGTCCAGGAAGAAGGTGATTGGGTGGCGGCACTCAGGGGCGTAGCGTCGCCGGGGCCCTGCCCACCGCTGCCTTCCTATGATCCGCGCCAGGTGTCTCTGAGGCCTGAGAGTGAGAAGCTACTGCGGGCGAGCGCAGCTGTAGGTTTAACGCCGGCGGGAGCTGTTCGGCCCCGCACCATTCCTTCTTCTCACCTCCCGCGTCCTGTGACATGGTGGCCCCCGGCTCTGTGACCAGCCGGCTGGGCTCGGTGTTCCCCTTCCTGCTTGTCCTGGTGGACTTGCAATACGAAGGTGAGTCCTCCCCTGCCCGGAGGAGTGGGCTCCGGGGCCAGGCCCTCTGGCGCTTCCCAGCCTGCGCCCGCGCGCGAGTCTCGGGGCGACTCGGGCTGTGAGGCGGGGGCCGGGGGACACCGTGGCGAGGCCTGGGCCTGAGCCCGCCTTGGGGCGGTGGCCGGCGCCTGGTTCCGGGTTTGTTTGGAAAAGGGGTGAGAGGACCTGTGGGCCGGGGGGGCCGGGACAGCGTGTTTGGAGTGTGGAGAGGGGCAAAGGGGCCCCGGAGGCGCTGCAGGGAGCGAGGTCATCGGGCAGCGACTTTTGTCCTGGGGAAGGGTGACTTGGTCAGCCGTCGGGCAATGGCTCTCCGGCTCCTGGGCTCGCTTAGGACTTTCGCTTGGCGCCTGTGAACACTGTTGGTCCTTGGTGCTGGTAGTTGGCTGTTACGGTGGCCAAAAGGGAAGGCATCTTTTGCTTTAGAGTTCCTGGGGGTGTTTATCCGCTGGGTGAAGTGTAGGGGGTAGGATCAACCCTTTAAAATGTGTTGTGTAAGGAATTAGATTGGTACTTTCAAGCTTCCAGAGGCCAAGGCACTAAGTTTGTGATTTTACAAGGCCCCAACATTGTGTCATTGAACTTTGGCTGGCTTTGCTTTTCTGAGTTCTCTGAAATAAGATCCCCTAAAAAGATATAAAGGCTTAAATTTCAATTGAGTTCTGACAGAGTAGCCAAAATAGAGGGCTCTCCAATCTTAGTTTTCAGCAGGAAGAGAAAGAATTAAAGCTGAAAGTGACATTTTAATTCTTCTAGCTTGGTTACTGTATGAAATATTAGAACATAATGGCATATGACATGCACTGATCTATTTTCACTGTCCCCCCTCCTCCAATAAGAAGGGCTAGCAGTAAGGAGGTCAAATTAAACATTTTACTGTTAGACTTAGAGTGAGGAACTGAAGTTGCAAATTGTTTATGGTAAAATTTCCTCAGAATTCTCAGCTTTTATTTTTTTGAGCTAATGCTTCTCAATTTTTAGGTCTCATTCATGATCGTGACTTTGTTTGTTTCCCTGGTGACTATATATTTTTTTGAATAAAATCAGAACTTGTGGGTTTGACAGCAATGAGAGACAGAATTTGAGAGATAGGCTCCCCTAGAAAACTTAGGGAATTGGGTTTTGAATATATGGACCACTTTAATATGAGTTGTATCTTAGTTCTCTTGCACTTTTGAATTGCTTCTACCCCTCTTCCAAAGCACCTAGCCTAGCATTTATGTCCAAACCAAAAAACTCAAACCCACGCAAATGACCCTATAGGACAGAGTGTGACTGACCGCCTCATTGGGTTTCCAAAGCTGTAAATCTTTACAAAAGGCAGTCTGCCTCATCATTCTCCCGCTGAACGGCGGTTGGGTTTGAAACCTGGACCTTAAGGTTAGCAGCGGACACTTTAACCACTCCTCCACCGTCATTTATGTCCAGAAACCATTAATGATACTTATTTTGGCCACTTAAGAATAAAGTTGGCTGCTCTATTTAATGTCTGCTTTTTTTTTTTTTTTAAAGTTAAAAGATGCACACGTTTGTATGATTGCATTTTCTGCTTGTGGACCACCTTTTTAGAATGCTTACCTGTATAGAATTCTGTAGGACTCTTATCTTTTCATTTTCTTTCTGTGGTATTTTCTGTAAGATTGACAACTTCATTAGAGAGCTTCTCTGTATAGGAGGCATTGGTGACATTTCTCAGGAATGCCAGAGTGCCATCTTCTTTAGGAACATTGCCTCTGCAGGAACTTGGTATAACCAAAAGCAAACTCACTACCGTCAAGTTGGATCCGATTCATAGCCACCCCTCCTTGGGTTTCTGAGGCAGTATCTCTACAGAAGTAGATTGCTCAGTCTTCCTTCCAAGGAGTTATTGGTGGATTTGAACCACCGGCCTTTTGGTTAGCAGTTAAATGCCTTAGGCACTACGCCACCAGAGCTCCTGGAACTTGGTATGTTGTTGTTATTATGTGCCATAGAGTCGTCTCCGACTCATAGCTACCCCTCCTTGGGTTTCTGAGGCAGTATCACTATGGAAGTAGATTGCCCAACCTTCCTTCTCAGGATTGGCTGGTGGGTTTGAACCGCCAACCTTTTGGTTAGCAGTTAAGTGCCTTAGGCACTCCGCCACCAGAGCTCCTGGAACTTGATATAGGTGATAGGAAAGAAAGGAATACGATGTTAACTTTATTGGTCTGCAATGTGGCAGGCACTTTGTTATGGCACTTTCTGTAAGCTTTCTCTTACTCATTGAGGTATGTGATATTATTGCTACTTTATAGATGAGGGAGCTGAGGCTCCAAGAGTTTAACTAACTTGGTTAAGGTCACATAGCTGTTAACTCTAAGAGCCAGCACTTGGCACTCAAGTTATTTGACTCTATAGTTTACCATATATGAACATCCTGAATGGATGCAGGAGGAGTAAGCTAAGTGGTTAGCAGTAGCATGTCAGTCAGAGGATTTGTAAGTGGTAGCAGCTGTGAAAAATCAGCAATTTTTTGTTAGCTACCAGCAGTAATGGGAGCTCTTGTGACATAGTGCCTAAGGCATTTGACTGCTAACCAGAAGGCTGGTGGTTCAAACCCACCAGCCACTCCTCAGAAGAAAGATGGGACAGTTTACTTCCATAGAGATACTGCCTCAGAAACCCAAGGAGAGGTCTCTATGAGTCAGAACCGACTTGACGACAATGAGTTTGTTGTTTTTTTTTTTTTGCACTGGCAGTAATGAATAGGAAAGTGGTTTCCTGGCATGTTTAATACAGTGGTTCAAAAGCTTGAGTGTGCTCAGAATCCCATATGGAGGACTGCTTTTTAAAACACAAAGTACTAGCCCATCTCTAGATTATTTCTGATTCAGAATGTCTAGGGTAGAGCCTGAAATTTTGTGATTCTAGTCCTAGGAGCTCTGGTAGCATAGTGGCTAAGACACTTGACTGCTAACCAGAAGGCTGGCGGTTCAAACCCACCAGCCAATCCTCAGAAGGAAGATGGGGCAATCTACTTCCATAGTGATACTGCCTTGGAAACCCAAGGAGGGGTCGCCATGAGTTGGGTCCGACTCCATGGCACATAACAACAACAACATAAAGTTCCTAGATGACCACGTTTTGAGAGCCACTGGTATAATAAATAATTTGTTGTTTTTAGCTGGCATGGCATTGACTCTGACTCATGGTAACCTTATGTACAACAGAATGAAATATTATCTGGTTGTGCTGCATCATCTTTACAGTTGCTGATGTGTTTGAGTCGGTCCTTGAGATTGTTATGCAACCGCATCTCCATTGCCCTGATTGGCCCTCTATTCACAAAATCGTGATATCCAACTCTAATGATTGCCCCCTTCTGATGATGAGTCCAAAGCAAGTGAGTCAGTGTTCTGTGGTGATCAATAAGATTTTCATTGGATAGTGTTCAGAAGTAAATCAGTAGGCCTTTCTTCCTAGTCTGTCTTAGTCTGGAAGTTCCACTGAAACCTGACCAACATTAGATGACCCTGCTGGTATTTGAAATGGTGGTGGAATAGTTTCCAGCATCATAGTAACACACAAACTACTGCAGAATAAAAAACTGACAGGTGGTGGAATAAATAGTATAGAGTAGTTAAATTAGTTGTCTGCTATGTACTGGGTGTCCCTGGGTGGTGCAGATGGTTAACACACTCTACTCCTAACCCAAAGGTTGAAGGTTCCAGTGCATCTAGAGGCATCTCAGAAGAGAGGCTTGGTGATCTACTTCTGAAAAACCAGCCAGTTTATTGTACACGCATTGGAGCATAGTTCTACTCTGACAGAAATGGGGTTGCCATGAGTTATATAATCAATTCAGCGGCAACTGTTTTTATGTACTAGGCACTAGACTTGGTATTAGGGTATAGAGAATCTTTGACTTGAATTATCAACTGTTAGCTCGTGGTGTTTACCCAAATAAGTTGTATCTCTGTTCATTAACCTCATACTCCTCCTGGAAGCATTCAGATCAGTATGGTGCCACTGGTGGGATGCAGGTTTGGCGTCAAGGTTTCTTAGTGCTGTTGTAACAGAAATACCACAAGTGATTGCCTTTAAAAGAACAGACTTTTTTTTTTTTTTCCTGTCTCACAAGTTAGGAGTCCAGAAGTCTGAATGCAGGTCATGGGCAATAGGGGAAGGCTCTGTCTCTGTAGGCTCTGGAGGAAGAAATATCTTTCTCTTCGGCTTCTATTCCTTGACAGTCTTTGTGGCCATCTATCTTCCTCCCTGTTTGTGCTTCCTTGTCGCTGCCTAATTTGCCTTTTTTTTTTTTAATATGTCCAAAGTGGTAGGTTTAACTCTTTCAAGACTGAATTGTCTTCTGCTTTGAAATTTTTCTTGAAAGTGTTTTCAGTAATGGAAAGCATTTTGAAAGAAATGAAAAAATTTTTTTTGAGATAATATGGGTTGACAGTGTCTGTGATGGTGACCTCGAGCATGGTAGCAATTGTGAAGATGGTGCAGGACTACATAGTGTTCTGTTCTGTCGTTCATAGGGTTGCTGTGAGTACGAACTGACTTGATAGCAACTAACAACAGCATCATGGATTTTAATACAATTAGTGGGACATATGTGTCCAGGTGGATCTTTCTGATGCTGGGGTTGATGGGTTGAGGACTGTTTGTTCAGATTCATGCAGTTATACAGCCACCTAGCATATGGCAGCATGTGAAGGTTGGGCAATCCTACTTCCGTAGTGATACTGCCTCGGAAACCCAAGGAGGGGTCGCAATGAGTCGGGGCCGACTCGACGGCAAACAACAACAAAAAGTAGGATAGTCGCGTCCCACTAAACTCCAGAGGTAGAAAATAAAATGTAGGTGGGCACTATATGTCCCATGAGTCATGAAATGGTTAAGACACACCATACACTGTATGCTCCTATTAATATAATATAACTAAGGCTGCAAACCAGCTCACTGCAGTTTGACCCCTTGCTGAGAATATGCATTTC